AGATCAGCCCAGGCTATGTACTGTGATCCAGTTTTTAAAATAAAAAGTTGTTTTAAGTACAGTAGTATGGAGCTGGAGAGATGGCCCAAAAATTAAGAGCACATATTGCTCTTGCAGAGAGGAGTTTCCAGCACTCACATCTGGCAGCTCACAACTGTCCGTAATTCCAGCTCTTGGGAGGTAACGTCTCTGGCCTCCATGGACACCCTCACTCATGAGCATAGGCGTAATTAAAAAGGATGATCTTTTAAAAAGTGGCGTAGTGTGTGTGCTGTGCTTCAGGGTGTATGTACCACTTCAGAGTGTTATTTCCTTTTTGCTCTGCTCCATGCTTCTCTTTCCCCCTTTACCTTGCTGCCTCTGTTTACCTTCTAAGTTTTCTTTACCTCCTATTTTTTCTCCCTCAGTTTTCCTCATTTCCGTTTCATTTTCTCTAGAACTTGTTTAATGCACATTGCTAGACCCAACTCCTAGGAAACTGGTCGGCATGGGCCTGAGTCCCTAAAAGATTCTGGTATCAGGCCAGGGTTGGAGCCCACAGAGCCCTCTACCAGGACTTGGCATCCTCAGCTCACTGCTCTTACTAGAAGTGATTAGACCCGTTGGCTGCTATCTGGCTGGAGCAGTTTCTGCCACCTAGTGGGCACCAAGTGAGCATTACATGAGCTAGCAACCTCAATCACTTAGCTTGGTTCCTTCGTTTTCTGAAAGGTTTTCCCCGGTCACTTAGAAATTCAACCTTTCTGGCCTGGCTGCTAGAAACAAGAAGGAAAATTGGTATTTTTGTGTTTTGCAGAAGGTAAGAGTCAAGACTAGTGCCTAGATATCTTCAAGGAAAGGCCTTCTCATGAGTCTTAGGTTTAAAAACATGTCACAGCATCATTCTCGGTGAGATGAAGCATCTGCAGGGAAGCACAGGGAAGGAGTCCTTCTCTTGTGTCTCCTAGTGTGGAGTAGGTCACTCACTGGCCTGTGTGATTCTGGCTCTGCACGTCTTTCTCGTCTGCTAGTGTTTCAGTGGTGTGGAGGGAAGGTCATTTTCAGTGTGAAGTTAGCGGGGTTTATTAGTGTTTTACTGTGGTAGGAGTTTACCAACAGATCACTTACCCTGTCTCTGGAGTGGAGCAGCCTCTGGGGGTCGGGCAGCCTTGGTGGGGGTCCAGAAAGCCGCCGCCTTCTTTCCCAGCACCACACAAATAGTAACTCTTCTCTCTCTTTGCCAGGAGGCCTGCTAATCTGTTTACCGCGCGAGCAAGCAGCTCGGTTCTGTGCAGAGATAAAGTCCCCCAAATATGGCGAGGGCCACCAAGCATGGATTATTGGGATTGTAGAGAAGGGCAACCGCACAGCCAGAATCATCGACAAACCTCGGATTATCGAAGTCGCACCTCAAGTAGCCACGCAAAACGTGAATCCCACACCTGGTGCCACCTCCTAATCTAGACAGAGCTAGCTACTGGATTTTGTTTTTAAATAGATCTATTTCTTTTATCATCACTTCAATTAAAGACTAAGAACAACACAAATCTCATTGTGTCTACACATCTGGTGACCCTAGGTCGGTTTGTGAGTGGATGCAATTAATAAAATGAAATCCATGGCCTTCTTTTCCTGTTACATTAACTGAAGATGCACCCACCCTCGAGGCAGCTTCTGAGTTGAGAATGATCTTGTTATCCATACTGTTGATTCATTTTGAATCTTTCGATGCGTATCTCTTGCCGCATAGGCGCTTTCTAAAGGTGCTTCCCACCCCAGACATACTGAGAGCTGTGTCACTGGGCAGTCCCTGTCTTCTCCTTTTCTGTTTCAGTGTCTCGGTTGACATTCTAGAAAGACAGAATTGGTAAGTGACATAATGGTCTCCCAGGAGTCACAGGGTTGCATGATCCCTTGAGTCTTTGATTTGTAAAGCTGAGTCTTAACAACTCGGGGGCATTTCTTCGACCCAGGACATTATGCAGTAGCTCACAGACTCAGTTCAGTAAGGTTTACTCTGCATGGAAAGCACTTAGAATTAAAAAAAAAAAAATTCTTTTTTTTTTTTTTTCTTTTTTTGTTAGCTTTCCTGATACTTGCAGTAATACCATTAATGGTTCTTTACCAATAGGAAAAAGGATACTTTTTGCAATGTAATTAGATGTTCTATAGTGTGACAAGGAATTGCCTTCCGATAGGGGGTTCATGTATAATACTCATTTATAATTCAATATCTAATTTACTTCGGAAATAATTTTTAAATATAATCAACAATAAAGACTGTTCTGTGGATGGTAGCGTTTAATACATTTTATATTTTGTATAGTGATTTCAGGCCTCTTGTTTAAAATCAGCAGCTCTTTAGCCTAATCCTTAGTATCATTTTGTCCCCGCGCCTGTACTTTCCTGTGCACGCATTTTGTGATCTGTGTTAAAATCTGCATTGCCACCACTGCAGCTCAAATTTAAAAGTTGGTATTCAAATAAATATTTAATTTTTTTAATTGCTCTTGTATAATCAGATGCCCTTTTTAGTATTATTTCAGAAGCATTTGGGAGGGGTTTGCCTAAAGTACAATTTATTGGGAAAAACTAGATTTTAGTTTTATAAAACTTTTAAGTCTTTCATGGGACCTATATTTTCTTGAATTAAATTTTGTAGTTCTAGAACAAATAGGCAATCTACAAAGGTGTTGTCTGTGTTTCTTAAAAACAGGGGCTTCCTTATCTTTTAACTATGAAGCAGCTGGGGACTCCCATCGGTAAGCACAAGGGCGCTGGGTCCTCAAGCACCTTCTTCAGTAGAGAAAAGCACCACTTCTCCAGGTCACAATGCTTCCTGCTAACAGGCCCCAAAGCTGCACTTTGTAAGCTCACCCAGCCTCACTCAACACAGAAAACCAGGAACCTGCCACTGGGCAAACGGATTCCCTGAAAGGAAGAGGCCGCAGCGTGGTTGTGTCCTTCAGGAACCACAGGACCTCCTGTATCCACCTAGAGCTGGAACTGAAGCCACCAAGCGTGGCCCTGAGCAGTGCAAGCTGTCACAGATGGACACTAACTGGACACTTTATAGGAATCTATATGATGTTGGTCCTCGAAAGTACACACCAGTGGTCTGCAAAATAAAATGTGTTGGAATCCTGTGAGTGCAGAAAACATACTGTTGGGCTTGCTTCTGTTTTGTTTCCTCACATAGGTGAAATCGAAGCTAATTCTGTGTATGGTCTGTTCCCAGAGCTTGTACTTTTCTTGATGGCAAGCTTGTTGAGATGAAGTTTGATGGATAATACCCTGAGTTGTCTTGAAAGATTCATAGAAAAAGAAAATGCCGGGGACTTAAGGGGTCCATGGATTCATGATCCAAGAAAAACCCTTGTGTTTTCAGAGTGCTCAGAAACCTGTGTGTTGGAATCACCCAGGCATTTGTCAAGAGACATTCCTGCCCTTTCCCCAGGCCCACTGAATCAGTAGTTCTGGCTGTGGAGCCAGATAATCTGCCTTCAAAGTGAACCCTTTAGGGCTTTGTACGATAAAGCTTGAGACCCACTAATCTCAAACGGAATGCTGACGGGTGGTGTAGAAAGTGGGGCTCTCAGAGCTCTTTGTAGTCTTAGCCTTTCTATTTCCTGTGCCTGACCTGTGACCCAACAACACTGTGTGTGTGTGTCTGTGTCTGTGTGACTAGAAAGTTCCTTGACTCAAGTGTCTGTCACTGGGTTCAGTTCTTGAGTTTGGTGAAGTCAATGTGGAACTCTTAAATTTATCCAGCAGTCACTACTAGCTGATTTCTGGTACCAGTCTAAAGCTTCACACTGAACACTGTTCATCTTGGAAATCTGTGAGTTCTACGATGAACGTTGCACCCCTAATAGTTGGGTAGGTTAAATAGGAATACTGATTATACCTGGAGAAGCTGGACCCTGCTAGAGTCAACTCCACTCATATATCCAGAGTTTTTGCAAAGGAATGTCAAAGTTTAGCTGGTTGTTGCCACAGGCTGGGTTGAAACTAATTGTTTCTAAGAAAAAAATGTAATAACATACTTGTTCTTTTTGGCTCAGTATTTTGAAATATCTTAGTCTTAGAAGTTCTGTATGAGTTATAATGAATTACGTGGAAGTGTTTTGATCTGATTAGGTGTATGAGCGACACGCTTGCAGTCTGAATTCAGCATTGCTTTCAAAAGTGTCCTGTCTTGAGCTGGTAAGATGGCTCAGTGG